AACGAAATTAAATGTCATTTTTAGTACATTGAATACATTAATTGTTACGTAAAGAATACATGCTAATTTATTTATTTAATCAGATTTTCTTATTATAAATACTAACTAATCAAATGAAACAAACAGAGAAAACGAGAAAATATAATTCAACACAAAATGTGTGCAAACAATTAAATACCTCACAAATAAAACTTTATATAAAAACTAAAACACTGATACGAAACGAGTGTATCATTAAAATTGAAACAAGTTTCTTAAGCAGTTGGACATGAATTCAAAAATCCTTTTATTTCAAGTCTTGTGCCTATCATTAGCTTTGATTTCCATCAAAGCCTATGTTAGACCGGAGGCACCAATGAATGAATACCACGAAAGTAGAGACGCGAAGCCCTTTGAGCCCGAAGAGGACAGACACCGTCATCACCACCATAAGCACCACCACCACCATCACGAAAACATGGACTCATTTGGTGAGCCCAGACACCATCGCTCGCACCCATTCCCGGGTCACGCGAACATCATATCCAAACTGATGCCACTCGTGAAGGCCTTATCCCAAAGGAGTTTCAAACAGACCGGTAATATAAAGGCTTCCAGTGACGCCAAACTGGAGTCGTCCTCCAAGTCCAGGGCTTATGTGGTCAGCAAATGGAAGACACAGACAAAGGAGATGTTTGTTAACAAACAAAATAATAACTGTATGAATGTCTGAACAATTAATTCCTGTATTCATTGATGAATGTATTTTTGTATTCATATAAAGCGAGTAAAGTGTTGACGCGAACCATCGACGCGAGCGGCGAAACCGATGCTGTGGTCGACCTCAACGCCGATATGGATGTTGTCAGCAATAAAGTGTTGACCGCCAGGAACACTCTCGATTCAGAGCCCGCAAAGGTATGCCTACCTGTGCTTATTTCAATGGAGAGGTCTGGTTAGCCTAATATGCATTTTATAATATAGCAGGGGTTGGAGAAGCACCACAAGCACCACCACCACCGCAGACACCATCATCACCATCACGACATGAATGGTGAACAACAACAACAACAACAACACCAAGAATCTGAGGGACAGTATAACAGAAGGTATAAGCGGGAGACCACTGGTGACGATCACCACGAGGACAAAGGTGTGGGCAATCAGTTCTTAGCGAAAGTGGGAGACATCTTCAAAAAGGCCGGTCAGGCCATCAGCGAAACTGTCAAAGAATACGCGCCGAAGTTTGAGAAGGGGATTAAGGAGACGGTCGACAAGATATTCAACCCCAAGAAGAAGCCGGCGCCCAATGGCGACAGCCCTACCGTCGCACCCAAGGAGGGCGAGAGCGAGTGAACCAACTGACAGATATTGACTGATAATTATAATACAACTCTATATTCATATTTGTATTATTAAAATAAAAATTAATAATTAATAATTTACAATACACTCAAACAAATTAATTTTATCAATATATTAATAATGATAATTTTAAATCAATAAATGTTCATTTTAGATGATATTTACAAGAGTCTAATATAGGAATTTTAAACTTTAATTTTATTTCTATAATGGGAAATTATTACTGAATTTATATTATAATATAATTTGTGTAAAAGTAATATTAATAACATTGAAAATGAAAGACACCCTTCCCCTAATTTATGAATTTCACTGGAAATACTATTATATATAGTTATTATAGTTATTTAATCCTTCAATATTGAAATGCTGTGAATGTGTGAATAATGAAAGTGAGAGCAAATATTCACACGAGAAATTTTAATTTAATAATCTTTTATTAAATTAAAAAGCAAGCCGTCTGTTGAGTATCAGTTTTTGTGATTATTATTATCTCAGATAACTTGTCGATAACTAAAATATTAATCACATGAACATTTAAACCTAAATAACTTCGAATATGATTATATAAATATTATTCTTAATTGGTTATTAACATCTATGATTATGATGTTATCTATATTTATAATTAATAATAAATGTTTATGGACACTTATTGAAAGATTATGTCATAATTTGAAATAAAGGTGCCAAATACTTTATATTCTTGTAAACTTTAAAAAGAGTTATTTTAAATAAATATATTGATTTCTTCATAATAAATATCGTGATATAAATAGATCATAACACGAACTTATAGAGTAAACATTTACATTAAAAAGATTATTTAATTATGTTTAAAGGAAGTAGGCTTCAAATAAATGTCTATTTTAATCATCACCATTCCAAGAATACAGTTCATTTGATGATCACCAAAAATAAAATAAAATTTATTATATTAATCGCTAGTATCTTACTAAGCACTTTTTATATTTTACTTTTAAATTAACTTATAGTTATAATAAAAGTTTGTGTAATTAAGAAATCCAAGTAATAATGAGTGAAACATATAATTACAAGAATGAGTTGGCGATGGCGTGGACTAACTTAAGTTGTGTCCAAAAAAGTTTATTTAGTAGAAAGCAAAAGACAATTCTGGTGTCCCTTTCCGGACGAATCAATTTCCATACACTGACGGCACTCATGGGTCCGTCCGGTGCCGGAAAGACCACTCTTTTGAAGTGCATTAATATGCGATCAAATCCTGATTTAATGAGTGAAACACAAATATATGTTAACAAATACACCAATTTAAAGACATGTTTTATAATGCAATCGGTGGACGAGCACATATTGAAAGGATTAACTGTTAGGTGAGCATTTTAAAAGGTTTAAAATATGTATAATTTATTTTTATTAATTGTATAATTTTATGAGATTATAATTTGCACTGTAGAGAATCCCTATTATTTGCGTCGAAAATCAAGAATAGGGTAACAGTTGGACATCTATATCGGGATAATTTTGCCCAAACGGGTGAATCACTACTGTGTTTGGACTCAAGCAATGAAATTGGTTTCGATTTGAACTATCATTATAGCGATGATTTTGATGCCGTCGATAATAACGGAAACTTTGACCACAACTTGAATGTCCGGAAGATATTGTGTGAACTGCTTCTGGAGGACTGCGCCGACAATAGTGTGCAGACGTGTAGTGGTGGCGAACAGAAGCGGCTGTCCGTCGGACTCGAATTGGTTCAGCAAATGAAGCCAAACCTCTTGTGTATCGATGAGCCCACCAGTGGTCTCGACAGCAATGCCTCGGAATTGGTATTTAAAACTATAAAACAAATAAACATTTATACTATAATACAATAATACAAATGTCGACTATATTTAACCGATACATCAGGTTATCAAATGTTTGAGACAACTATCAGAGAGACATCGGATGGCAATCGTGACGTCAATACATCAGCCAAACTCACTCCTGCTGTCAATGTTTGATGAGTTGTATGTCCTCTCAAAAGGAGGTCACTGTGTCTTCACGGGCCCCCCAAACCTCCTCAGAGGACATCTCCTCAGAAGTGGCATCACCTGCGCTGATGATGTCCTCCCGATTGAACTCTTGTTGAAGATATCATCAAATTTTTCAAATCAAGCATTAGATTCAAAGTTAAATTATAACAATTCACATAAATTTAAGGTTTCCTACAAATTAATATTATCTTATATTAAATACAATTATGTTATGATTTATAATTATAATTAGATTTCCAGCGAAAATGGTGGCACAGAATATGACATCAATAGCCTTATCGATGCCGTCAAGAATCAGACGATGAGTACTAAGGATGAGTTTCGGCAAAATGGGAAATTGGTTTCCAAAAGCATTTCTAAACATAACTTATACTTTAATTTTTATCACTTATTTTATTTAACATTACGTGGATTTACATGCTTTGTATGTATAAAATTGAATTGATATTTTATATTTTAATTACTAATATTTTATTTTTATTTTTAAAATTAAGCTCAGATACGATTGGATCGTATACTCAGGACTCGGCATCTTTACCCTGTTTATAGCATTTTGTTTAAGTTATTTGTATGGCTTTCATGTGGGAGAAGCGGACGGGTGTCTTGACTTATATCTCACAAATACCTCCATATCTAAGACCACATCACTGGAGGAGGCGTTGAAAATAATGAGCGAAGAGTCGGATGTCATTCAAAACGTCAAACTATTATTCTTTACGGTCACGTGTCTCGGGTTTGTATCCATGGCCTGCACTATACTGGTGTTCCCATCGGAAGTCCGTATATTCCTCAGCGAACACCACAACCGGTGGTATTCAACGAGTTCTTACTATTGGAGCAAATTATTTGTCGAAATCCCTGTCTGTGTAGTCATTTCAGTGGTTTATTCAACGATTATGTACTTCTGTACGGGACAGTTACCCCAAACATTTCGCTACTCATACTTCACTATTGTTTCGGTAAATATTTTTAAAAATACTTTTCATATAAATAATATTTCATTTATGGGACAGGTGTGCGGTATGTTTATTGCAAACAGTTTTGGCAATGTAGTCGGGATCATATTTGCCCAAAATTATCAATTGGCCACTACTATAGGCGTTGCCTTTTTTCTCGTACTCTTTCTTTTGGGCGGATTTGCTGTCCGACTGTCCACTCAGGATGTGGTCATTCGTGGACTCAGTTATATATCATCCGTTAAATTAATATTTCAGTCAATTATGATCACAACCTATGGCTTTGACAGATGTAATGAATCGCAAATGAGTCTTGTTTTGAACCAAATGGATCTTGATGATGATACTCTGTGGATTAATATTTATTGGTTGATAGGTTTGTATGATATAGTATTGTAGTGTTTATTATTATATAATTACTAAATTATAATTCATGAATTTCAGGTCATTTAATCATATGGCGTTTAGTTGGTTTGTCAGCATTGATGTATAAATCAAAGTAAAGCATTTAATAGGATTTAATTTGAACTTTTATAATATTCAAATAAATCGTACTGTAATACTATTTCAATATTTTTTAAAGATATTAATATACTTATAAGTTATAAGAAAGAAATCAAATAATGATTTCACTAATATACACTTTTTTAAATTTATTAAATTATTTAATAACAAGTTTTAGTAGATAGCAATTTAATAATTCTGTGTTTTGCATACAAATTAATTATAAATGATATTTTATGCAAATGTGTTCATTTATATAATTGTACACCAGGTCTGACAACAATTCTGTATATTTGTTTATATTCACAATAACAAACTTATATTTTAGAAATATTTTTATTTATAAATTAAATTTATTATAATTTAAACACACATTATTTTTATAAAATGAATTCAAAAAATATTAACCATTGAGATTAAATTAACTTAAAACAAAAATATAATATACCACCTTTGTTAATAAAACCCCGCCATATTATCTATCATATGTACTGTACTTTGATTGACGCATTGTATCTATATTTGAATTTTCCATTAATTAAATGACTATTTTCTAACATTTTTAATAACTTGTTAATACATCATTCATATGTTTTATAAGAAGCTTTTTTATTTTATAAACATGGGTATTTAGGAGTTTATTTAGTTTTAAAAATCGTAAAATTTTCTCTATATATTTAATTTATACCTCTTATTGTCACACATTTACCTGTATTTTCAAAATACATAGAAACATTTTATTTCTAGACTAGAAAATTCTGTGCACAAGATACAGTATTTGTGCAAGCAAATAAATTTTAGTATTTTGAAAGATAGTTCCAAGATTGAGATCACCCAGATCAATTGAGTCGTTGCTGAGATTAATGGATTTCAAACCATCACAATTTCACAAATCAAGAATTGTTAAAAATCAACAAGGCAAAATTTCTCAACATCAAGAAATTACTTTTTCTTATTGACCCTGGTTAATATTTCCAAAAATCAAATCTTACCTAGATCTTATACTTTTTGAGCGATTGATGGACAGTCATATCTACCGTTGCCCCTTATGTCTGGATAAAATTCGGCATACCAATAGATCGGTGCCAGAAAACAATAGTTTCAAAATTTTCTATTTTGTTCTAGCTCAATTCTACGATTTTAAAACTAAATAAACCCACAAATACCCTTTTGTCAAACACTTTATATAAATTAACTGAATTATTTATTTAATTTAATATTAAATTGTCTATATTGAACAATTAATTTTTGGTAGTTTAATTTTAAAATGGTTTTGATAAATTAATTTAAACTTATTATAGTAATATTTATTTTTATAGGAAATAAATAAAATGATTTCACCAAATGAAATCAACATTTTTATTAATTTATTAAATAACTTAATAACAAGTTCTAATAAATAGTAATTAACTAAGTCAATGTTTTGAATACAGATTAATTATAAGACTATTTTTAGCAAATATGTTTACTCATGTAATTGTACACCAGGTCTGAATATTTGTTTATAGTGTATAATAAGTTATAATAAACTTATGCAGTATTTTAGAAATATTTTTATTTATGAATTGTGATTGTGGCATACAGTACATTATTTTTATAACATCAATTCAAGCAATAGTAATCATTGTGAGAATAAATTAGCACTAGCTTGATGCAATTTGGGCTGCACAGTTCGCACGGATTTGTTTGGCAGACAAAGCAAACCAATTCTGGTGTCCCTTTCCGGACGAATCAATTTCCATACACTGACGGCACTCATGGGTCCGTCCGGTGCCGGAAAGACCACTCTTTTGAAGTGCATTAATATGCGATCAAATTCTGGACTCACGAGCGATACACAAATTTCCATACTATAATTTTAAATATTATTTATATTACTTTCATTTGGAAATAAATTCAAAAAAACTAATGTGTTGATTAAAAAATAAGATTATAAAACTAGTTTAATACAAATAAAACATTTTATTCAAAATACAAATATCCAATAGAAATAGATTTTAATTGTAATATTTCACACCAAAAACTAATTAATTGCAATTCAAGTGCATAACAATTTTGATCACTTTTATGAGTGTTTTTGACGAAAAGAATTAATCAAATGAAAAGCTCTTCGAGTCCTTCAGAGA